ACGTGGCTGTTGTTCGACAAATGGCAGCCAGCCAACTTCTCATGTGGTTTGATACCTGGGCGAATGTTCTGGGGACCTTACCAAGGTGTCGGGGGGGGGGGGGGAGACCTCGACCGGAAACAAGGTTTGCGTCCAAGAGTCTATTTCCAATTGAACACAATTCTCCTAGACACCATTAATATGGGCCCTGCAACCGAGCCCAATCTTGTCTTAAAGGTTCCCTGGTCACCGTTAGCCAGTCGTTTTCGTTTTGTTGCTAGGTGCCCAAACTTACCAACCGGGTCGTCACCAATGGTTTGGATGGTTCTCTAGGTTTGACTACCGAAAGTTATCGAACAATCTTATTTCTTGACTACCAGGTAAATACAGGTTGCATATGCCGGTTCGTTTGTTGCTGCGGTTTTGAGAGTAGGGAGAAACCTGCATGCATTGTTCCTGCCTATTGCATGGTGAGCTTGCCTGGGGCTAAAACGAGCTCACTATGACGAAGGCCCCGAAAACTAATTTCTAGCTTTATGACTAGTGGACAAATGCAGATGCATTGTTTTTTCTCTCCAACAGCTAGCCTATTATCGATTTTCATTGGTGGTACAGATGTGCTCTTCGCCAGTGCGCTTTTAGATGGTGAAACTGATGAGAGGTGTAATTAGTCATCGGTGTATTGACCTAAGTGTTTTGAACCAGGCGGGTTGTGGTGACGAGGGGGGAAAGTGTTGACAAGTCTCCCGACATGTTTTGGAGCCAAACCTCAGTCTGCTTGCAAGTCTGCCGTCGCACAGCGAACGAAAGGGAAACAGATTGGGCCAAGTCTAACGAACACATGTCATGTGTATCAAGATCGTGGCATGTCTAACTTTGGCAAGCTGGCAGCTATTCTGTGCCTCTCAGTTACCAGTCTGGCACTGCTCAATGAAGGCTGAATATTGTTGTGCCAATGCCATGCTAGTGCTAAGCAACCCTTTGTATTTAACTGTTTTGCATCTGACACATGCTGAACCTTCACTGCGACAATATTTTAGTGCACAATACAAGGTCAATCCTAAGCAGATGCTATCAGGACTGGACAAGGCTACACCAAGAACGCCGTACTCTTCGTGCACAATTGATACCAACCAATCTGTATTATGATCATGATGAGTACTAACTGACCCGACTGACTGACTGTCTGGCTGACTGACTGGCTGACTGACTGGCTGACTGGCTGGCTGACTGGCTGACTGGCTGGCTGACTGACTGGCTGACTGACTGGCTGACTGGCTGGCTGACTGGCTGGCTGACTGACTGACTGACTGGCTGGCTGACTGACTGACTGACTGGCTCTCTACCTCCACCTAACCAACCAACCAATTAACCAACTAACCAACCAACTCACTAGCAAACAAACGAAGGAACTAGCTCGCAAGCAGCCACACAACTGTCTCACTAAGTACCTACCCGCCTACCTATCTTAACTACCTAACTACCTGACTGACTAGCCAGCCAGCCAGCCAGACAGCCAACCAACCAACCAACCAACCAACCAACCAAGGAACTTGCTAACTAGTAGCTAACTAATTTACTAACTAACTAACTAACTCACTCACTCACTCGCTCGCTAGCTAGCTAGCTAGCTAGCTAACTAACTAACTAACTAACCACCATGTTGAACCGACACCGAACCAACAATTCGCCGCTTTGTCAAGACCGCCAACGGCCTATGATGCGCCATTTCGTGAGCTAACTAACTAACTAGCTAACATGTTGAACCGATACCGAACCAACACTTCGCCGCTTTGGCAAGACATTTGCACGGCCTATGATGCCATTTCGTGAGTGGAACAATTCGGAAACCGCAGAGGTCTGGAAACAGGAGGAAACGTGAGACGGGCCTTCATCCAGTGGAGGAGTCGAGCGGCTGGGGCCAGGGCTGCTAACGACTTACTAGCGACCCGTCTCTCAAAGCTCCCCTGCCCGGAGTGCGGCTTTCCCAGAACGGTCCACCCAAACCGTTTAGGCGTTTTTTGGTGGACCACATCCCCGGTGTTGGGGGGTATCTTCCATGGGCCTCATTTGAAGCGGGGAGTGGGTCGCGGTTGACGGTAGTTCAGGTGATCTTTTCTTGGACAAGTGGAGATTCATTTTGTTTCCAAGGAAGCTGGGACAAGTAATAAATACTCTACTCAGGTTCCGTGCATCAGGGGTCAACATATCGGGAATTTGGTAAGAAAAGGAAGCCGCCCCTTTTTGGAAGATGCAAAGAAAGGGCCCATCATTATAGTATAAGACATACAATTTGATTCCTGTTCTTAAATCCACACAAAGGACGCCATTTTGAACGTTTTGACGGGTCGGATGATTTTCATTCCAAGTCGCTTGGGTTTGAGTGACCTTTGCATTTGAGGCCACAAGCGCAGAACCACCAGGCGGTGCCGGGGGATGCTTTCTGTAGACGGGGCGCTCATCGTTGATGCGATAGGCATGGAATGAGAAATGGCATGAGCCCTAACAATGCAACTGGTGGTTTCCTTTCAGAGAATCCGCAAATGGTTCATTCCCAACACCCGGAAGGTCATTCCCTGAGCACCAGCAAGTCATGAAGCCGTTTTGGGGGGCGGCGTCCATTTAAATCAGCCCGCCGCCGCTTGGCATATTTTGGCTGGAGAAAAACCGGAGTGGTGAGCAATCCTGGACCCCAAGCGTTTCCTCAGGATCTGCCAATGGATTTGCTTTTGATGCGGGGCCGTGCTGCGTTTGGTGCATCGTTGTGGGAGCTTCTTGCAGTTTTGGCAGGGTTCTGAAGAACCACTTTTTTGAGAACTTCCCCCCCATGTACGTGTGGTGGTCTTTTGTTGGTTTCACCAGCAAAAACTAGGTGGGGCTCGTATTGGCCAGGTTCGTTTGAACGAATCCAGGACTACGTCACATATGCCGACAGTGGGTCCCGACTGCTCGCGTGTCCAAAGTCAAGTAACTTGAAACCAGACGATCATGTTACCCGCGCTTTGGACACATTCCAGTTCAGTCTGGGTTCAGTTGGGTTTGGTCTGGACTCGGTTGGGCAAGCTCGTAAAAGCATCCAGACCCTGGGCCCTCAGAGGAACCCACACAAGGCTTTTGTTCATGCTGAAGGTGGGTCGACCCCCACCCCTGACCTTAGACCCTCTGACCTTCGACCCTGGCAAGTTTCGACGGCAGGGAGTGTCGAAGCCCCCCCCCCCCCAACTTGCCAACCCCTCCGGAGGGCAAGAACACCCCCCACAAAGCAACAAGCGCCCCTTTGGAGTCCATGAAAGAGGGGGGGCAAAAAGGTCGGCCGCGGTTCCTCGAGCTGTGAAAACCGCAGGAGGAGGAAGTGAAACCCAAGGCCAGGGGTCTTGACGGGACAGCGCTTCGTCCTACCCGAGCTTGGTGGCCCTTCCATTTGTTTGCAACGCAGCCAATTTTCTGAAATACACAACCAACTTGCATGCTCTCAACAGGCTCTCAAAAAAGCAATGCGAAATGCATGTTCTCAAACAAATCAGCTTGCTATCTGTGACAAGGAACTGCCCTTGTAGGTTGCTCTGTTGCTTTTGTTTCAGCGTCTTGCAAGCGAATGGGACCTGTGACCTTTCGCCTTTGAGCAACTTTGGGGCGATATGTTGGTTTATGTGAAGGATGCAGCAAAAACTGACCTTTCATTTCTAAGTATTTTGCGCATCCCTAAAAACCATATCCAACCAACTACGTGCAAGGCACTCCTGAAAAGAAGCCAAGAGAGAGTATTTGAACTGTGGTCGCTTACTGGACAGTGCAACAGTGTTCAATAGCTCACTTGTTGTCTTTCTATGACGAGCACCATCGTAATATTGATAAACATACTGATTTAAAGGAATCAAGAGAAGTTCCAAACCGACGTTGAATGCCTCGCCTTCTTCTTGAACGAGTATCTTCAGAATGGATTGTATCAAATTTGCCACGAGGCTTGCTCTGCTTGGCATCTGCAGAATATCAGTCTTGTTCTGTTGCCGAACCTTTTTCTTCGGCACGCCTGCTGTGATTGGTTTTTGACACCGCAGAGACCAGTCTTTGTGTCTAGGAAGGTGAGTGAAAAATCAGACACAGCGTGGCCAAAATGTGTTGAACTGCCGGGCAAGCGAGCTGCAGCAACTTGAAACATTTCCGGTTTGTGAGACAGTTTTCTGTGAGTCAGTGGAAATGAGTGGATATGAGGCATAGGGAAACCTGAGGGCTTGTGAGACGAAGCACCAAGCCTTTGCCTGGCCTTGGGAGTTTTTATTCGAAGAGATGAGCCACGAAGGTCAAGAGGCAGTCCCAACCGTCACAGGTGCCCTTCTGCCCTTCGGATTCTTCAAATGGTTTTGGGTTGGACTCCTTCAAAGCCAGGCTTTCATTGTGTGCATCGGTTGGACAAAACATGCCCAAACGGTCTTCGAATTGTTTGTCTTCGCAATGAACATAGTGACGGGGGGTTCCAGGATTAGTACGGGGTCAGCTTTAGAAGGGATCCTTCACTGCCAAAATTCCTCTCCGACAGCGACAGTTTATCACCCCGGCATTTCAAGATTCCATAATTTCAGAGAAACATGTCTCAACAAGTGAAGTGTAATGATGTCGGGGTGGCCATGGCACCATTCTGTCTGTGTGAAGTCTTCTGAAGTTGAACTGGACCGGGGACCACTTGTGTTTCTACAAGAAAGGGGAATAGGCCATTCACCTTGCGCTTTGTTTAAAGGAAAACAACCCCCCTCTCTCCCTCTCTCTCTCTCTCTCTCTCTCTCTCTCTCTCTCTCTCTCTCTCTCTCTCTCTCTCTCTCCTTTTCCAAACATACTGTGGATGGACTGCATCCTGTACCAGTTGAGAGGTGGTTTATTCCAGTATTCACAGGGCTTCATTCATTCCAACTGGTGCAGAGTTGCGTCCACAGTAGGACCCTATCTTATCAAGGTCTCAAAATGAAGGTGTCGGGGAGGGGGGGTTTTCCAACAAAATGACACACCCAAAGGTCGAGAAGTCCCGTCCAACAGCCGCTCGGATTGGGAGAGTGGGGGTTAATTCGGCGGGGTTCTTGGGTCGTCATCTGGGCATGGGTCATTTTTTTTCTCCAGCAGGGGACCGCAGGTTTTACTCCATGTTTCCATTTTCCAGGGTTCCATTTTGGGTACCGATTTTTTACCCACTGCCATTTGGCTATGATTGTAACAGAGGGAGCACCCTCACAAGTGTCTGGTGGACATACATGTCCACCTACATGACTCCTTAAGATGGCCAAAAAGTCACGGAGGGAGGTTCTCTATTTTCAGACACCACATTTGCCTTTTGTGATCATTTTAGGTTTTTGGTACCTTGTCATGTTTGTCATGTTGTTTCTTCACATGTTTTGTTATCGCGTTTGAACACTTTCTGCTCTTGTCACGGGGTTATTTGGTGGGCGAGGCTGTTCTTTGCTCCTTCCGGCTTGGCCCGGTCATTGTCAGATGGTTCCAAGGTCCGCGGCTCCGTGTCAACGTGGAAACGTTGGGCCTTCATTTGCAGTCACGTTGAGTGGTCTTTGTTGCACCACACAATTGATTCCATGTAGCAAGCAAGCTAAGCTGGAGCGAGCCTTGCTCCCTTCTTGCAGTTCTTAGGACATTCGCCGTGTTTGACAGCTGGCACGTTTTGGATAGCCATGGCAACATGACCAATGTTGCATCTCATGTGTATCTTTGCCGGCATCCCTTGGCCCCCAAGATCCAGCTCAGCCAAAGGCGCCCCCAAGTGCGACGTGGATCCCTGGATCCAAATTCAACCCCCGTGTAATTTGATGTTATTGGGCCAGACATTGAGGGGTTTTGGGTCGTCTTGGTGACTAGGTCATCATTCCCACGCGGGATTTGCAGAGCCCCGGCAGCATTGGCAGGCGCTATATGTTGCTCAAACTGGACCCACCTTTTTGGCATTTAAAGGAGGGCCAACAGGAGGAAGCCCGCCATTTTAGGGCACCGCAGTTTTGAGAACACACCGCTATTTTGCACTTGTACTTTTATACTTGCACTTTCACTTCCACTTATACTTGCAGATACAAACACTCTCTCTCTCACGCACACGTTTCCTTTTTTAGCCGGTTCACACATCATCTTTTTGGTCACTTTGGATGGATTTCCCCTTGAATTGACGTTTTAGGGGGAAAACCAGGGACAAGTGAGATATTGTTTCGTCCCAATTCTAAGAGCCAACCCCTGGTCCCCTTGAGCAGGAGTTTGAACCGTGGTTTTTCCGCAGCGTGTTGCTCCAAGTCTCCACCCTCTTTCCAACCATCACGGAAGTGGACGCTTTGCGTTTTCATTTTCAAGAGGATGGTACCCAGCTAAGCAAAGGCCGCCTTTTCCCTTTCCAGGCCCATGCCCTATAAACTGTTAGGCGTGTTTTCTGTGTGAAAAAATGTGAGATCTCCCGCAAGCTTTGGTTTTTAGCCGCAAATCCGGGAGCGAGGTTTTTCCTGGTGCACTTTGGTTCGTTTTGCATCAAGGCACCCAGGGAGCTTGAGCCGGGAGTGGTTGAAGACTCTGAAGGACTTGTCCAACTGAGAGCTCTGGCTCAGGGCTCCTTGAGAAGTCGTTTCAGGCTCCACACCCCTGAGACGCAAAGATGCGGATCTCAGCACCGAAGTCAACATTTTAGCAGGTAATCGTTCAATAGAAAGAAGGGGTTGGCCAATTGAATTCCTTCCTTCCCTCAGATTCTGCACATGTGGATCAACGCGGGGTGCACGAAGCGAGGCTTGGCATGTGTCAAAATCAGCCCCTCCTCCCCCTCCATTGGGTAATCTCCACATTTGCCCACCGAGACCCCTGATAAATGCGCAGGTGCTGCGCATCACGTCTTTGCCGAAAAATGAAGCCGGCCATGCTTGGAAGATGCGCAAAAGGGGCGGCATGGTAGGGCATGCAATTTGGTTCCTGTTCTTAAATCCACACAAAGGACTCCGCTTGGGATATTCAGAACCCCCCCACCCACCCTCCACATGGGTTTCAGTGACCCGACCCCCCCCCCCTCGCATTTGAGGCCACAAGCGCAGAACCACCAGGCGATGCGCTAGGTTTCGGTCGGGCGACTGGTTGTTTGGTTCGAGCGGGGCCAGCCGGGAAGAGGACCTGGTGCCTATGGGTGTTTCTTAAAGCATGAAACCCCGAACATTGGACTCGGGGTCCTTGCGAGTTGCCCTGAACAGCCGCCAAAGGGGGTCCATGTTGAGAAAATTCGATGTGAGTACTTGACAATCTGTGTGGTGGTTTGAGGATTCGCCAGCAAAATCCAGGCGGGGCTCAAACAATTTCCCATTTTCCGTTGGAGACTTTGGAGGGAGGTCGCATAGGCCAACATGGGGGACTGCTCTTGGCTCGGAGCCCAAAGTAACATGAAACCGGACGTGTTTCACCCCGCAAACTTATCTTAATAACTTAAGCAACCAAACCCTGGTGCCCTCTACGAAAAAAGACCCAAAGGAGGCTGCTTGTGCAGCGCCTCCTTTGCGGAGGCGCAATGCTTCTCCTGTCGGACCCCAAATGGGGGGTGTCCTTTCGGTTTCCACCAACAACCCGAAAAAAGGCAACCGTCGAGAAGGCGTGCCCATATCAAGGGCTCGTTGCTTGGTTTCCTGCCAAACCAACCTGAAAAGGGCACTTTCAAAAAACGCACGCCCAGTTCTTGGGCCCGCCTCAAAAGCCACAAGCAGTCAACCCCAGTTGAATGAACCCATTCGCGAGGTTGCTTTTCTCTCAAGAGAGGGCCTCAGGGGGCGAAAGGGGCCCTTTTCCTGGTTAGGAGAAGCCAACCATAGCCCCTAAGGCTTGAAAACAGGGTTCAAAAAAGGGTTAGTCCCCTCCCTATTATGAGTATTGTGTTGGCAGCATGCGCACTGCACTATTCCCGCGTGGGAGCAGATTTTGGACACACCCTTGTTGCATTTATGGGGGGGGGGGGGCAAAAGGTAGGCTGCGGTTCTCGAGCTGTGGAAAGCTGCAGGTGGAGGAGGAAGCGAAACCCAAGGCCAGGGCCTTGTTTTGGTCTTCGGGGCTTCGGGACAGCACTTGCCCAAAAGGAGCTCAGCACTCGAGCTTGGTTGCCCTTCACTTTGTCTTCAACGCAGATAGCAACATGCAGACCGTTTTGTTTTCCGGACACGCTGCTCTAAAGACCGTCATTTACCGTCGTTGGGGGAAAACCGGCCACCGGTGATCCGGGGCGTGCCGGAGGTGACAAGGAACTTGTGCCACGCCGCCATCGGTAAGCTGACGGAATCGATTTGTTGGGTGCTTTGCGACCTTCGGGCCCAGCATTGAACTGGAATGTCGGGTTCAAGTGAGCGTTCACTTTGTAACTTTGTACGGATACTTCAGCAGTGTTGTGTGATGCTCATGCGTTTCCCTCTGCAAGCATTTTCCACCGAGGGGTCCCTCATTTCTAAAACCATCCCTGTTGTGCCATGGGCTGCCCCAGCAAGGGGCATCCCTTTCTCCACTCGTTCCTGCCATACACCCGCCATACACCCACCCTAGACTCACCATCCCACCCATTGGGAGGGCTAAAGACACGAGCGGGGTTGCGTTTTGTGGAATCCGTGCAGGTCGAGAAGCCCCGTCCAGCAGCCGCTTGGCAGACTGGGAGGTGATAGGCTACTTTTGGGGCAGCAAGGTCTTCGGACCCCCCCCCTCCTCGCGTTTATTTCTTCTGGGTTCTTGATTTTTTTTGGTCATTTGACTATGATTTCAAGAGCTGGCACCCCCTCTCAAAAGTTGGTGGGTAGACCCCTTGGCGTCCTTTTGATTCTGTGCTTACTTCACTAGTTAGTGGGACTTTGTTTTGTTTAATGGAAGACCATTTCGGTGCGAAATAAACAGTTCAGAGGTGTTCGTGCTGTGACCCTCGACACGAATTCTCCTTTGATGGGAATCATCGTTCAGATGTTTTTGTGCAGGGCATTGTGCCATCTTTCACCCAAATGGGGGTGTCCAATATTGCGGAACCCCATTTGGAGTGGGTGTTGAAGGAAGAAACCAAAAGGACGCCCCACCATTTCGGGGGGTCCAACCTCCAAAAAAAAGAGAAGCATAATTAACTCCCTCGGACTAGCAAGCTTCAAAAGGCCTCTGCAAATGGAGCCGCTCTGACGGAATCGCCTGGAGGGTACCCAGATCTACGAACTGGATTTGGGGTCCTCTGCTTTCAGTCGATCCTTCGGCGACTTTTTCGAGTCGATCGACAAGAATGCTTTCTGGTGCTCAGCAGGGAATGAGACATGGCATGACCCTCATAAACCATCCAGCTGACGGGAATCCCCAGGTGAATTCACTCATGTCCCCTAAAAACTACATTTTGGGTCCCCCAAATTCCCTCTTTGCAACATGTGGAGATCCCTGCCTAATGATCACACCCAGCAAGAAAAAGCATCGCGATCGAGGTCATCATCCCCATGCGCGCGGCGCCGAATGCCGCGGACCCGCAGAGCCCCCGCAGCCCTGGCAGGCGGATGGGGCCGGTTTCTGGCGCGCTGCTTGCGTGAGGCGTCCCAAAAGAGGTTTCAGTGCTCCAAAAAGTGAGGTGACACAAAAAGTCAGGCAGGGCTCCAGTTTTGGATATGGGAGTTGAGGCCTTTGTGCAACTGGTCTTGTTGATCGGGAGTTTTGCGTCCCGCTCACTTGGGGCCCGGGCTTCGTGTGCTGACCCAACTTGCATCTCGCTCCCGCAGGTTGGTTTTGCTTCTGGCCGCTCAGTACATGCTTTATTGCTGCGCAGTCTGGGCATCCGCCAACTCTACCTGCAACCTCCCTGCAAGACGCGCCCGAATGCAGCAAAGTGCTGTGGCACACGCTGGATGTGCGTTTCGGAGAAAACTGGACTCTGGCTGACACATGGTCGACGAGTGAGGACTACAATGGCTGAACAGCGCGCGCATGTGCAGGTTTTAACATCATCGACAGGGACAGCTTGCTTCAAGGCCATGTTGCAACACAAACAAACTATTGAAAATCGCCGTGGAATTGCAACAAACATGGCTGTCAGAATTGCAAGAGTTTCACGGCGGCGAGGCAGCCGACTGCCTTGTTTTTCCGTGTTTGATTGTTTTGTTGTTTTGTTTTGTTCGCGTGTTTTGTTGTTTTGTTTGTTTGTTTGTTTGTTCGTTTGTTTGTTTGTTTGTTTGTTTATTTGGTTGGTTGGTTTGGTTGGTTGGTTGGTTTGTTGTTTGTGTGTTTGTTTGTTTGCTTGCTTGTTTGTTTGTTTGTTTGTTTGTTTGTTTGCTCGTTCGATTGTTTGTTTGTTTGTGTGTTTGTTTGTTTGTTTGCTTGCTTGCTTGTTTGTTTGTTTGTTTGTTTGTTTGTTTGTTTGTTTCTTTGTTTGTTGGCTCGTTCGATTGTTTGTTTGTTTGTTTGTGTGTGTTTTTATGTGTGATGTTTTATTTTGCTTTTTTGTTTGTTTGTTTGTTCGTTCGTTCGTTCGTTTGTTCGTTTGTTTGATTTTTTTTTAGTTTGTTTTCTTTGCGTGCTTGTGTTTTGTGTGTTTGTGTGTTGGTGTTTGGGTAGTTGCTTGTTTGTATGTAGTTACTTTGTGTGTTTGTGCTTGCTTGCTTGCTTGCTTGCTTGCTTGCTTGCTTGCTTGCTTGCTTGCTTGCTTGCTTGCTTGCTTGCTTGCTTGCTTGCTTGCTGGCTGGCTGGCTTGCGTGCTTGCTTGCTTGCTTGCTTGCTTGCTTGCTTGCTTGCTTGCTTGCTTGCTTGCTTGCTTGCTTGCTTGCTTGCTTGCGTCCTTGCGTCTTTGCTTGTTTGCTTGTTTGCTTGTTTGCTTGTTTGTTTCTTTTGTTTGTTTGTTTGTTTGCTTGCTTGCTTGCTTGCTTGCTTGTTTGTTTCGTTGTTTGTTTGTTTGTTTGTTTGCTTGCTTGCTTGTTTGTTTGTTTGTTTGTTTGTTTGTTTGTTTGTTTGTTTGACTTTTTATGTTGTTTGGTTTTTGTTTGTTTGTTCGTTTGTTCGTTCGTTTTGTTTGTTTTGATTTTCTTTGTTTTCCGCAACAAACATGTTTGGGGTTGCCAGGTTTTAAGTGACATCTGCGAGACAGCCACAGACAGATGCGACAGACAGCTCAGAGCTGGCAGCTGCGAGAGCCTGACAGACAGCTGTGACAGAGCTTGTTGCTGGCAGCGTCGACAGTCCGAAGAGGCTCCCACACTCCTGCCAGTGGCCGGGGCAGGGCCGTGACAGCCCGAAAGTGCTAAAGCTGGGGTCTAACTCCCAGCTCCGTCAGCCTGACTGCTGCAAATTTGACGACAAGTTACGGCGGCATTTCATTGGTGCTCAGAGATGGCTGTGTGTTTGTCACAGCAGCACGCAATTGCGAATGTCCTTGCACGGGCTTGTCTCGCAGAATCGGAGCGCCGCGGATGAAGGGAACAACCCCCCAAATAGGAAGCTTGATTTCCGTAACAGCTACGGGCTGCCATGGATTAGGGGTCAAGGCTGCCTTGGTTCCGTTTTCGTTTGACCGAATTTCGTGGCCGTTATATCAGTCAGTACCATCGCTTAGCGCGTGCTTTGCGGTTTTGCACGCAGTCGTAGTGACTTTTTTGATGCCTCTTGCAGCTTCAGCTTTGCGAAACAAATTCCTTAGGTGGGGGTTGTTCGAGGTAGAGTCGTTGGTTTTGTTGTTAGTGTTTCTTTGGTCCGAAAAGGAAAGGATCTTTCCGCTTGGCAGGTATACCGCTTGGAGTTGAGCTCAGCGGCGCACCAACCTTTGGCGAGCCGAGCTGGGCCATTGGGCCTTGAAGGGGGTTGTGGGGGGATTCGTTTGATTCACCTTGCCTATGGTTGGAGATGAAGGTATCAGCCTCCTTTTTTGGGGGTTACTGGGCTTACGTATATACAACCAGGCCGAGTACCGAAAGGATCGTTGACTTTGAGGAAAAGGATGGCAGCTGCAGCTTCCCAGCATATGCAGCTTCCCAGCATAGGCGGCCTCCCATCCATCAAGTAGGATTGGTTTGTTTTTTGGTCTGGTTGAAGGCACATCCAGTTGTCCGCGGCACGGCCTTACTGTGGTTGTCGCCAGCTTGGCAGAACTAGCAGTCAATGTGTTTTGGGCGCTGCTCAAATACAGGCTTTCCAAAAAGGCACGGAGTTTGGGGGTTTCGCGGATCGCATCGCCTTAAAAATGCAGGTGCGACTTTGTTTGCCTGCAACTACGGGGCCCAAATTTCTTCTCTGGGTTTTCCTTGGCACAAGAAGTTAGGCCAAGAAACCATGTCGAACAGCCAAGTCAGTGGTCAATTCGGCAGCTGGAAGCAAACCAAGATCAAGCTGGAGAATGGTCTCTGCTCTCCGGCGAGTATAGGTGAACATGGGGAGAAAACCAGGTTGAGCCGACTGGCAAGAGCACTTGAGTCACAACCAGAACGTGGGTTGAAAACTGCTCCCAGTCCTGAAGACTGATTTTTCTTTTGGGTAGACCATTTTAATACCAGGATTTGATTAGGACTCTTATGACTCACTTGGGTGTGTCATAAAATGGGGCTAAGCTCTTCTCAGCTTGCCGCGCAAGGCATCGCAGGGGTAATTCTCCTGCGTCGTATTTCCCACGGCGTGGGACAACCCCTGTTGGCGCTGGCTGGGCTATTGACGATTGGAGCAAAACAGACTTTCTGCCGACATTTCTGCAACGGCAACAGTTCTGGGATGGCACAAGGCTAAGCAGCTAAGACACCTGGGGGGTGGCATACATCCTCATGTTGAGACCGCTCGTTTGTTGGTGCCTGCTTCGCTTTTGGAGCCTTTTGGGTCTGTTTCAAAATGGAGCTAACATGAAACTGGTGTAGAGTCGGTTTTGCACCTATGACCGCAAGAACAGGGATCACACAGTGGGAGGTTTATTTGAGAAGTCTGCCCTACGGCAGATGGTTTCAATTTTCCCTTTCCACCCACCCGATCCTGGCGCATCGAACTGGTGACGGTGTGGCCCAAACGGCTCCTTCCTATTTGGGGCATTTTCAGAGGAACCAACGAGCAGGGGAAAGAGCGCACGTGTTGCAAGAGGGGTCTGACTCCCGAAAGATACCACGCCGCGCACTCACTGAATCGAGTCTGCAAAGCAAAACGCGGGACGCTTTGTGGCGCCTTTCTGGCAGTGCCAGCGCCATCTTATTCCGATAGCATCGCTAGAGGGGAGCTCAGAGAGCGAAAGGCCCGAGGCCGGAGGCTGCCAGAGGCGAAAGCCGAGGCTGTCGACTTGCGCTTGCTCGTTTGTGTGTTTTCTGGGGGTGTGGTGTTTTCGCATTTTCCTGAGGGCAAGGGCTGCGTTTTGTGTTTTTGTCCCTGTATTTGTGACTCCAGCGAGTATTTTTTGGACCCCCGCACCTCACAACTCAAGTTGGGACCCCCATGCGCTCCACCAACTTGGTCTTTGTATGTTAGAAAGGACGGTGACCAACCTATTGGTCCGGCTTCTCATTGAGGGAACCAAAAAAGGCGCGGAGGTTTCTCGCACACGCGCGAGGTCAATAGGTCAAGCGACAGGCGCCGAAGGGTTCCTGTGACCATCTCAGTGGGTTCTACCTGGGTATTAAGAGCCATTGCAAGACCCTTTATGGCCATGTTGGTACCAAAAGTCAAGGGCGTTTGGGCGCTGAGCCGCTGAATGAGTCGACACCAACAAGTTGAATCACCCATTCGATACCTGGCAAGCTCAGATGCATTTACCAACCATTTGGCAGCGTACATCACCATCCACTTATAGCCAACCTGAACCCCATGTTTCAGCTTTACAACGCAATGTTACTTCCAATCGGTGAAGTACAACGCTTCGCCTCGCGAGCTCCTCCTCGTTTTGGCCCGTGTGACGGCCCCTGCTAGAAAAAATCATGCGACTGCTCTGCTGGGCAGCCCGGCGGAGCGGTTGCAAGGCGGATGGACGAGGATGGACGAGTCCCCCCTTCGGGAGCCTTTTGAGAATTCCAGGCAAGGGGATTTGCAGGGCGAAACACAACCATGAGTGAAGGATGGGGGATCATGGTTTATACCGGCAACAACTTTCAACATGAGCCAAAGGCTAAAATTATAAGGCACGAGCAGCTAGTATTTGGAGGTTTGTAGTGATGTCTCACCATGCTTGTACTTCCCTTCCCTTCTGACGACTCGCTGCTGTGTTCCACGGCTTCTGGGCCCCGGATTCGAGGTCTGATGGCTTGGACGTGGCGAGAAAGAAGCAACAAGCCTCAGCCCAACATCAAGTGTCAACACGTATCCTGTCTAAACCCACCCCATATTGCCGATCCCAATCAGCCCAACAGATCCACCCTTGGCCCCGAACCAGGCTTTCACGCCATGCTAAACCCACCCTACCACCGCTTTTCTTCTGGAAGATCATTTTTCGGGCTTCCATCTGTGCCCGTCCCAAGTTCTCATCCTGCAGCGTTCGGTGCTTTTGCTTCAAAGAAAAATGAGCGTGCCTCCGAGCTGTGACGTTTCGCTGACCCTCTTTTGTTGGTTTCCCCCTTGAAGCATCTTCTTTTTCGTTTTTCTTTGTTTTTTTTGGGGGGGAGGGGGGGGAGTTGTTTTTTGTTTTGGGGGGGGAGGGTGACGCAACAAAGACGGGCATTTTGGGCTGGACGGTTGCCCGGCTTGATGCATTCCCCCAAACAACAATCCGCAGTTTGCGCCCAGGGTGAGGGCCGATATGCCCGAGCTTCTCTGTTGCGCCCTTCGCTTTAACGACCTCGTACCCGGAGTTTGTTTTACCTCCATTTGCTTAAGAAGTTTATTTTTATTATTATTTTCCCTTGTCGGTTTTGAAAGGAATTCATCACTACTGGACATATTTTTACTTTTTCCTGGGGCCTTAACCTGGAAGTTTACCTGAACACCAAAAAGGTTGGTGTCCCAACCAAAACGCGACAATCGGCATCCTTTCCGGCTGTTGAGGTGAGCCTTCCATTGGCAATTGCTGGTATGGCGACAGCAGTTGGCTTTTGGATTAGCACGTTCTCTCCCCATCTCCAACAATAAAGCTCATTTCAAGTAAGAGAGACGTAAAGAAACAAGACAATCGTAAATAATTGTACAACTATTGAAGTAAGAGATATATATTTAGAAATAGAGCTACTGCATGCATGTGCTTAAGAATACTATCTATGAGGAAGACATCTGGAATCATATTAAACAAGAAGGCTTTTTGGATGTCGTCAATGTCTTTTTTATGAGTGATAGCCATCTTTCCCAGCTCTCATTTGGATGTCTTGTTTGGAGAGCTGGGATGTCTTGATCAAGGGTTTCATGGCTGGTCACCTTCCTACATCAGGTTCTCCAGCTGCAACCGTGTAACACCTTTGGATTTGGACCAGTTGGAGAGGGAACCCAAAGTCATTTATTATCTTCTTGTGTTGGTTCTTTTTTCTTCGGAATTATATTGTGTGACAGATATTTTATGATTATGAGGTCCTCCACACAGGTGGAGGAGCTGCAATTTTGACGCGCTCACCGGCAGATGTAAACGATGCCCTGGAACAAGCTCTTCCCAGACACAGAGAGCCGTACCTCAAGGATTGCTTTTGGCTTACGTCTCCAACTAACGTAGCACCAGACATGGGGTCCCTTGAAGAGGAAACCAATCTTACAGGTACCCTCCCAGAGAGGTGCCATGTTTGTGGAAGAGAGGGTAATTTTTGGCCCAAAAGGAGCCCTGTTAGACAAATCCTAATCTTTGCTTGCAGCTGAACCAGTCCCTTGCGACCGAGGCCTCAGGCGTCAGAAGACTCTGTTAGGAGTCGCCATCAGTGCCTCCAAGACAACCATGACCATCCGCATGGAAGAGAACATGTTTGTTGTTGGGAAACATTTTACATCTTTGCTTATTGTAGTTTAGTGGGACATCCCCACTTAACCGCTGAAAACTAAGTTTTTGCTCCCCGTCCAACGTCAAGCCCAAGAGAAGGCCGCCACGCAAGACGGTTTTGTTTCGAGCGTGCGGTATGCCAGAATTGTAGGGACCTGATAAGGCCAACCAGGCCCAGCGTGAAGGGTTCTTCCATTTCTATCTTTGAGATTGCAACATTGCAACAAAGTTCATTTGGTTTCTTCCCTTGCCGTCCTATTCCTAAGTGACCCCTCCGCGCTTGCGGCTACAGTTGCCAAAGCTTTCAGCTGCCAACAGCCCGGTGGGGAGTCAGACCTGGAAGGGGGCTTTGGCCAAGGATGCCAAGGGGAGCCATGGCTTTGGGAGTTGTGGCATGGCACATTTTTGTCATGCAGTGCATGGTTGCTTGTTTTGGCAAGCCTCCGACGCGTGCGCTGGTGATTCTTTGGCTCATTTAAGGGACCAAGAGAACAGATTGCGAAGCGTGCCATGACGAATGCGGGACCTTGACTCGACAGTTTCATGATGTTTCATGCTGCTTAACGCTCTTCAGATGTTTGGCGCTTCGGAAACAAACTCCAAGGCTCGAAAACACCCCAAGGCCTCTCCAAACAGACACCATTCAGAGCTTCTCACCGAATGGTTTGCTGCTATGGAGATCCTTGTATTCTTATCTCCGTAGCCATCTATTGGGTAAAGCCAACAGCTTCTTTTTGGGTCTCATTTTGGTTTCCTCAATTCTCATCGACACCCCCCACGCAAATCATGGGCCGTACTCGGGTTGCGGTTGTACAACCACCTTGTCTCAAAAAAAATCAATCCATGCTTATGGTTGCCTCTTTAAGAGACGGGTTATCACCGTGTCGCACCATGATTCTTTTCCCTCCCGCCAAACTCCCCAGCACCAAAAAATCACCCTGGCCCCGGACCCATCGAAACTCCAGCCGTTGGTCGACATCAAGAACCCGTTGGTTTCCGATCGGATGTCCAGCTGCGGTATCAGCCCGGAGGAGCGAATCGGGCGTTGGAGGGAACCCTCGAGTCATGGGGATCTTAGGGTGACTTTCCAATGCTCAGTAAGCAGTTTCCCTCCCTGAGTTCTTGGATATGAATCCCAGGCGCGGCATAGAACCCCCCCCCAAAGAGCACTACACATGTTTCGCAAAGCCAGGTCCTGGATTCTGCGACGTCAAGGTTTCTTTCACAGAGGTCCATTTCTGACTTTCGGCTGGCGAACGATCATTCGAATTATTTTGTATGAAAAGAGCAAAGTTTCTTTTCTCTGGAGCTTCTCTATGGGGGCTCCGACCCACTTTTCGGGCTGTTCATGCAAAGTCCTCTCGCCACATGAGGACCTCCGAGTAGTGGAAGGCCAGTACCCGGCCACAGAGACGCCACTGGAGACGGCATGGACCTTGTGGTGCCCCGGAAGAAGGAGAAATCTGCCAGACGTCGCCCCATTTGCCATGGCAAGAAATCCAACCATTGCCAGAGTAGACTTATTGAGTTCCATGGATAGGGAAAACCACCCCGATTGCCCAGACTTGATGAACCCGCTGTTTGCCGTTTTGGTCCTCCGCGAACTCCCACAACAGCAGCACATTGGCGGTTTGCAGCGGAGACGGCTTGCCTCCCAGGTACGACAAGAAGACCAGCGACCGCAAGGAGAGCGAGCAGTACATGCAGGGTCTGCGGCAGCTGGGCAGTTTCAATACCATTGAGGCAGGGTTGGGTGAGCTTGGGGCTTCGAGCCACGGTGAAAACGCTGCCCGGCTTGGTATCGCTTCGTAAGGATGCCCCGCAAGGTGCCCTTTGCGCTTTAGGATCCCTGGCTGCGGAGTTTGACAGCTTCAACAGGAGGTCAGGGGTTAGTTGGATAGGCTGATGATCAGAGAAGGCTTGTGTGGCTGTTCGTGGCAGTCTTCATTTCGGGGTTATGGATAGACATGTCGGAAGCGATAAATTCCATCGACTTGGACACGCGAGATCGCCTGGGGGGAGAACGAGTGAAACGACGGTCTTTTTCTGGGGGCGTTCCCCTCTTTTCAGTTTGGACAACAAACCTGCGGTTGCCACACGATCCAATTGTTGCAGGGGAAAGATGGGAATGATGGGCGTGTCTTTTCTTGAGGTACCCCTTCTTGGCGTCGAATCAGGGGAAACCAACCGGAAGCCGAAGCCAAGAGATGCGAAGCTGGCGAAAAAGAAAAAATCCAGCGGAGACTTTTGCTTCGCAGGGCTTCTACCGGCACTACAGCTACCTCCTGCGGCCCAGCGATCTTCCGCGGGACCACAACGCTGGGGCGCCGATCGAAGACCAGGTTGGAGGTGTTTCGTAGATGGGATTTTCGGGTTTTCCTTGGAAAACGAAGGGGGACTCACAAAAGCTGCGATACCCCAGGGCAACCAGGGAACGACATGCATCATGCCGGTTGTCAGAGTTGCGGCTGCAAGTTTCTTGTGGGGCAGGGGGAATGGTGGCCTAAGTTGCTTGGTAGATTTGCTCACTCTCCTTATTAGCACATGGTTAGCATTCCTTGACCTTCACAACCCTCGATTTGTGATCCCTATTGTTTGTAGGGAGGGCCCTCCACGTCGGGTAAACATCCCTTCCGTTTCAGAGCGAAACAAAGGCAGCCCAGATCAAAGGGGTTCCCACTTCAGGTTCTGCTCTTCCGGAAGGGCTACCGACCCATGTGGGAGGCGCGTGGGTGCCGTGTCTCAAGCTCCGGCAGGTATGGAGAGTGACTGATCAAAGTGCTTTCCTTGAAGTTGGCCCATTCTCCATACTGCTCCAGAAAAAAAAAAACTGCTGTGGTTTCTTCAGACAGTACAATTCCAAAAGAAATCCAGCTTTTTGCTTGCATCAGCGCTGTTTTAAATCCGGCGGCAGGCAGTTTGGGCACTTGGGTGCTGAGGTGCTCAGGAAACAGGGAGGCCCCTCCTTGCTCGAAAGATTTGTCGTTGAAGGCATTGGGCTCAGTTATAGCAACAACAAAAACAAAATAAAACATGTCGGCAACCAGAAGTTGAGCTCAGGTTTTGGGCACTGCTCACATGGCTGTGGGTCAAGCATAGGGTAACCCCCCACATGGAACCCTAGTAAGTGGAAACATGGACCACAACCTGCGGTCCATATCCTGGTGGTTTCATTTTGACCCACACCCACATGTATATGTACACACACTACCTTGTTTCTTGGGCAGTATGACCTTATCCACTGACAAATGCCATTCCCCCCAACCTGAGATACCCTGAGCCGACTTGCTGAGCCGAAGCGCAAAAAGCGCTCGGGTGCCAGGAGTTCCCAGAAGGAGGTTGCTGGATCATCCGCATCAAGCGGAAGGCGCGAGATGCGGAGCCAGATGCGGAGCCGGATGGGTGCCGTGTCCAACGAACGGTGTGGACGGCTTGGGGGTGGTAGACTTTCATTTGCTTAAGGATATGTTTTTTGTTTTCTTTATTCTATTATTTTCCCCTGTCGGTTTTAAAGGGAATCTATGACTGCTGGACATATGTGTCATATTCCTTTTTTTGCCAGGGAGCTTAACCAAATGGAAGTAGATGGTGTGATGTCCTTGCCCAGGATTCTTAAGAGACGTGAGGAGCTTTGACCATAGAACATGTGGAGATGGGCGGGGAACGCACGGGTTTGTCTGAGTTGGTGAGCAGATCTGGGAGACGGTCTTGGCTCGTTTGCAACAAGTTCATTGATCACATGAGTGCGTGAAAAGAGGAGCCTTGTTGAGAATTTGCGCCTCACTTTGCCTATCATGTGCGCTGCAAGGGAACTGCTTCCTCCTGCACTCTCTGCATTTCTCCAGGAAGCACGCAGCACACAACAGCCATAGCTCCGATCGTTACGTTGCATATCTGCCCAAGTCACACCTGGCTCTACAAACCTGTCAAACTTTGCTGCTTCCCCAACACAAATTTGGACGACGGATCATCAGGCTGGGGATTCAGCTGCGCCATATAGCTAGAAACCGGGAGCAGAAACTGCAACAGATGGACTGGCTCTCTCGTTGGATAGCACGGTGCTGGTATTTGTCCTGTGTTTGACAGTGAGGAAGCCATTTCACCGTTCCCACGAGCAAACATGCACTAAGGGTCCCCATATTTGCCCCTTCGAGATGGTTCACACATAACCCGTTTGGAGCTATCCCGAGTGAGTTTCCTTTTGGGCGAGGGAGCCCTGTGCACGACGACTGTGGTACTCCTGGCACTCACGACTAAAAGGGGGATCCATGCACATAATGATTCAGAGCCATTGCAACCTCAGACTAGTGACTTAAGGCGAGTTGGTGGCCCCAAGCATACTGGCATGTGCGATAGAACCTGGCTTGTTTTGAAATGGGGTGAGCGGCGCGGACAGCAAAAGGAGACACATGCAGCGAATAAAGCAGACTCGCCAGGGTGACAGGTCTGGCAATCTCTGCGGATCAGTTTGTTGAAATCTTGCCAGGGCTCAAGGAGTCAGGTCTGGGCACTGGTTCCATCACTGAAAGGGGACGCCTTTGAGTGGTTTGGACACAGGCCAAACCAGAAGCAAACCTGTTTGGGGGGGTAGGGGCAAAAAAACAACAGCCCCCAAAAGCGCATCGGTGGGTTCTCCTTGGCACGTTGCCCGAACGCCGTGCGCCGTGTGGCCGAAAGCAGGCCTCACAGAACTTTGTGAACCGCATGTGGGAGAACCTGTGCTTGGCCTTCATCGGGGAGGCGGGGTGTGTTGGGCGAAGTCTAGTCCAGAAGTCTGTGGCTGGTAAAAAAGGAAGAGGTTGCAAGCTCCGGCGGATGCCCCTGTCGCGTTCAGGGAACCTGGGAACCCCTCGAATTGGCCCTCGTTTTTTTGGCTTGGTGGTTGAGTATGGCGGGTTTGCCTTGCGAGATGGTATGGGCACCCACAGTTTGGGGCAACGAGCTGGTTTTTTGTGCAAGCGCATGTGACAGCGAGAGGGCGCCCCAAACTTTCGGGGGCTAGGGCTGGTTTCGGACACCGGCGTCTTAGGGGGATTTGTTAGCGGCACTTCGCCCTTCGAGTAACAGGGCCGTGCCAGCGGTCTGCAAAGGACAAGAGTTGGTGGGTGGGGGGCAATCAGCTTTGTGGAAAAAGAGAGTTGGAAGGTTTGTGATGCAGCGCTTCTACATGTTGCTTGCGAGGTGTTTTTAATCTGTGGCTTCTGCCAGCTAAACAAAACGTCCGTCTTGTTTTATCAACTCCGGGAACCCCCTCCCCACGGCTATCAAACTTATCATCATTCAAGGGTTTCGTAGGTACAGTATACCCCATCCATCCGATTTGGTTTCCTTTTTCAGGTAATCCCGGATCCGGTTCATTCCCAACACACGGAAGGGTCGTTCCCTACCTATCGCACCAGCAAGAAAAGAGAACCCCTGGCTTTCAGGTTCAATGCCTTTGTGAGAGGGGGCCCTGGGCCCTACTCAAAATTAGATACCCGCTTGACTTTTGGCATTTGTCCAAATGACGACTCCAAATACCCACTCTGCTTCTAGGGGGATGTCAACCCCTGGCTCACAAGGGATGTATTGCCCATGATAAAACAAGGCTTTTCAAATTTACAAACCCAGGTGTGTGGAGCAACGGAAAACAAACTGCATCCTTTTCGGGTTAACCATTGCAAGTAAGCAACCAGCCAAGCGAAAGAACCAAGCAAAGAAAAGGAAAGAAAGGGGAACAAGAAAACCACAAATCCAGGATGTCAACTTCCCCCTGCAAATTTCAATACAACACGGTGTCAACTCCATAGTTTTCCAGTGGTGCAAAATGAGTTTCGTCTACAGGGCTCGATTCCATGTCACTCCTTCCCTCTCGAAGCAGCGAGTGGGGTCTCCCTGGAGGAGTTCGAGCTGCCGGACGTGGTGGGCTGCGTGCTGTCCACCCGGCTCAAGGATGAGAAGGGAGAATCGAGTCGACGGGGGGGGGGGTCTCCCTCAAAAGACGAGCCACACACAAATTTGGGGTGTCTGTTGATGCAAACAAAAAAATCTCATTCACCCAGTAGTGTCCCTCTCTCCACTTTTTCTTGGGGAGATTCAGCTCCCCTAAAATCGACTACAGAAAAAACAGGGTACCCTTATTCTAACCTCTCTACCCGAGGACCTAGAAAAGTCGGTTTCCCGCAACAAAAGAAATGAGAGCCACCGAATTGGCCACTTCTCCAAGTCGTCACTTCACAAGGCACATGTGAGCTGCACTCTTGTGCTTGCAATGTCTGGGTGCAATAAGGAAGCGGTTGTCCAAGCGAATATGTTTTGTTGTTTCCCCCAGCTGAAAGCTCTGTTTGTCGCAGCCCAGATAACCTCGGGGTGGTCCAAGCTCTGCTTTTTTCTTTAGCAGATTCGAGGGTTGCGAAACTCCGCTGGGAAGCTGTACAGAGACGTTTGGCAGTTCAATCCTATCGTGCTTGTGTTCGTGGGTCGGCCCTGGAATCCGGCATGCATCGCGCATCTGCTGCATTTTGCTGGTCAACAACTTCAAGATATGTGTTTGTTCCGCGTGGGATCTGCCCAACTGGTTGGGTAACTTGTGTGTGCTTCCTTGGAAACAACTCAGAAATCGTACCCTCAAAAGGACAGTCCCATGTGGATGTTCTGTGGAATGGGAACCTCCAATGATGAGTTTCACCAATCCCAATTCCAAAGCCCCAATTTTAGGGTGCAAAGCGGGGCCCAACCCTTGCAGACATTTTCCTGGAATGTGGGTACGACCAAAATTGTTTGTCCACTAGTTGGAGGTGGGGATAGGAAGAGGTGTTTTATAGACTGATCATTGGGCTGCATTGTGGGGCTGTGCAAGTCGACCCTTCTGAATAGTTGGTTTCCTTTTGTGTCCTTTGAAGGCAACCCTAGTTTTAGTACTGATGCATCCAAAAAACTTTTGCGGCCAGTACAGGCATTCCCATCATTTGGTTTAAAAAAGGAAGGAAGCCCAAGCGAAGTCATCTCGGCGGCTCTGCTTGGGGAACCTCCTTTGGTTCTTCCTTCTTTGTTTTTTGTTTCTACTAGGAACCCCACAGGAAACCAGGTTGTTGTTTTTTTTGTTTTGTTTTTCTAATAGGAACCCCACAGGAAACCATTGCCTTTTCTGACACAAAATCGAAGTTTTTGGCCCAGGACGATGTGCTCTCGGTGTGGAATCTCACCAACCGGGACAACTCCGCCGGAGCCTGACAGTATATATATATATATATATACGGACCGAGGCGAAGGGTAGCCTGGATATCCTCTTGCGGGTCCCGCATGTTCGTATAAGGAACAAGCCGATCACCTGAATCAAATGTGTTTCTGAGCAAATGGTAAGGCCCTCTTACATGGGCTCATTTCATCACGCAGTCTGTGCCATATTTTTGTTTTGGTCAAACATATTTTTGGATTATGGAGGATATGGCTATGAATTTTAATGGGGAACCCCCTCAAAAGTGGCTGGTGGACATAAATCCCCACCGAATTTTGATGTCCGCCAAAGGGTCCCTAAAAAAAAGTCATTCCCCTATTCCCTCGGTTTCCTCCCAGAAACCCGGCAGACCGGGCCTCAGTTCTCCATCGCGACTCCACGGGGTCTGGCAGTCACTTGTGGCGGGGGGTTGGCAGTCAGTGCCATTGGGGAAACCTTTCCTCCAGCTGTTTGTTGTTCAGCAAAGCAGTTGGTCAGCTAGCAACATGTGCTGTTCGGTCAGAATGTCCATGTTGCTTCCTCTCGTTACCCACCAGATCAACTCAGGTAATCCTTAGTGGTTTGGATTGGTGGTTTGATTATTTGAACTTCTGGTGCTTATGGAGGAATGGGCAATCCAACCGACCCCGGGCTCCAAACCACCCAACGAGGGAAAAATCCACGGGCCGGCCCCGCATGGCACGAGGCCCGCTTTCGCATCGGGGAGAAGCTGAAGGAAGTCGGGGAGCCCGGCGTTCGCGTCGGGGATTCGTTGCCTAAGCCAAACTTTCGGAACGAACTCCACGCCGCCATCAAAGAGTTTGTGAAGTGGAAGGGGCGGATGGTGGACACCTGAGGGGGCGAAAGCTGACTTTTGTCCCTGGTGGTTCTGAGTAAGTTTGCGATCTCACTCGTGACGAAGGCCCCTTTGTTGCGGCACCCGTATGTTGGCTAGGTCGATATTCTATCATGTACCCAGATCGACCGATACAGACTTCCAGGATGAGGCAATGTGGGATTGACTGATTAGCCTCAGGTATTGAGCCAGCTTTCACTTGACTAGTGTTGGTAGCATATTCAGCCAGACGTGTCGTTTGTGTGTATTAGCCTTGGCTTTTATCCATCATTGTACACCATGATGGAACCATATTAACCGCTCTATTGCATTTCACGATTCTGCTGGGCGATTTGGATGCTTCATCCGCCCGCGTTTTGAGGTGCTCGGTTTGGACATGAATGCCCTGATCCAGTACAAGGACCTGAGAAAAAGCCCAGAGCGGTCTCATGCGAGAGCGGGGTAGAAGGCCGCATTCAACTGACTGCTGTCTGCAGCTCGAGCGGAAACCAATGCAGCTTCGGGGTGACATTTGCCCCCCAACCGGAAAGGCTGCCAGTGTCAGAGCCCTCCGAATAACCTCTTTTCCAGGGTTTTACAAAGAAGTTTATGAACGGGTTCCAGATTGCAACAAAGGACAACCCCATTTGTTAGAACCCATTCAACGGGATACCCAACCTTTTGGAACGTTGCCTTGAGCGGCGCTTGGGGCGGGAAGGTGCATTTGAGATCGTTTGCCTTCGCAAGACCGCGGCCATTTGAACGAAAGGCGAAGGTGGTAATGCTCATGTTGGAGGTCAGGCCATGGTGCAGGGAACGTGGGTAATTGCAGGCGCTGATATAAGAATTCAAAGGGCCCGCTTCGGATTCTCACTAGTCTGCTTGGCAATTCTGGCTCAAGTTCTGAATGCAGCAATCCGACTTGTGCAAAGCGACTACACAGAGCGACTTGCGCAAATCAACTCGTGCAAAGTACCTTGCGCAGCGTGCAGTGTGACATGCGCGAGGTGGATTGCTCAATGCGACTTGCGCGGAACGGCTTTCGTTGTGTAACTTACGTAGAGGTACTTCTGCAGCATGGCCTGCGTATTGTAACTTACGTGTGCCTTGCTTCCTTATCCTGGAATGTTTGCCACATCAACAACTCAACAAATTGCAGTCAAACATGCAGCCACAAAGTCTAGCTCTTCAACCCCCTTCCGGCAGGAGTGAGATCACAATGGCGCAACCAAGAATGAGTCAGCACAAATTTTTGGCGAGTTCACATTGGGGTAAAACGAGCAAATTGAGAGGTCACTGACCTATGATGCGAGAACAATTAGTGCAGATGAGTTTCTGGCAGGCGGTCGATCCTTTGTGAGTGCCCTCCTTTGAACTGACATGGAACCAGAAGGTCCCTTCAAGAGGGAACTTGTGAGCAAGCGGCTAATCTCTCTCATCTAGAGATATGTCTTCGGTGATGACAAGTGTCATAAATCATCAGAAACGATATGGCGAACCCCCTAAAAACGATAACCTCCCATTCGAAATCGCCCAAAGTAGTCTTAGATTTTGCCGCTCGCTCATGTCCAAACTTGTCTCCAATGCAGTTTCAATGTGGCAAGGGCTGGATGTTAGGGGCGTTGAGTGTGACCGCACAGGACCACATGCAGAGTTTGCAGGACCTGTGGGGTGGCCTTGAGTGAGGTGAGGGCCATTCGATCCCACGAATGGCCAGATGGGGTTGGACTTGTGTTGGTTGTTGGTTTTTGGCTAACGGTTCAAGACCAAGGTCGTCCCTTTGCTCCTGTCTTGTTCTTTTTCCTTTCTTTTTTTTGAGGGGGGGTCTTCCCTTGTTGCTTCTTGGAGAAGTTGTTTGTGTGCTTTGCTTTGGGCTAGGAGCGACCCAGCGACCCATGCTCAATGTACTCTTTTGGTGGGAAGGCAAATGCGCCATATTGCGCGTATTGATCGTTCCAAATTGGGCCAGCCACTCATATTGAATTCAGGAAATACATATCTGCGCAAGGCTCGGTGTCATTGATCCCGAGTTGGGATCGCAACTCAAGTTCAAGCCTCCTGGAGGGGCTTCATCCCTTGTCTTCCACTAGCTTTGTCTTTCTGGAACTAGAAAGTGAGTAAAACGCGGCACCCCACTCGAAGTGTGCCCCCTCGAAAGTGGTGCGCAGAACTCCCCACGAAAATGTAACCCTTCTCCACGCCTCAGCCTTGCCTTGCCCGTGAGCGGTTTGGAAAGCCATTCCGCTTTCCTCACAAGTTCGAGGGTGATACATGGGGCGGTGTCTTTTGAGGGTGCGCTTTTCGGGGTTGGTTTATAAAGGGAGACAAGCACGAAACCAAAGTATTTTTTTGGCCCCTAGTTTGGCACCGCAATAGCCATATTTGGTTGACCCAAAGGGAAACCCAAAAGGGATGGCGTACTTGTTTTTATTTCGTTCAAAACACGGTTTTCCTTGGAGAACCTTTGGATTCTCGAGGCAGACTTTTTTTTTCCAGAGGTGAGCTTCGTGCAACAGGTCAACAGGACCTTGGAGTTGAATGTCGGCTTACATGCGTGTGTCCGAACACCAACAGGATACTAGTCTCTTTGGGAAACACATATAATACTAACATGTCCTTCGGCTGGAGGCAGGATTCAACATATTTAAACCATCCCTTATCCATCAAACCACCAATCAAAACCACCAAATAGAGGGAATTCGAAGCTGACGTATGCCGACATTTACTCAAACCATTCGCAAATTCCCTTCTTTTGGTCCACCTTAAAGGCTTGCTGCGGTTTATTGGGCTATGATCCATCGCCGGTGCCGATCCATCGCCGTGCTCTGGCTCGCATTTACAGCCCCGACTTATATGAGTTTAGGACACAGGTTCAGCGAGCTTGTTTTGTGTCTTTTTTGTGGGTGGGTTGCGAACTCGTTTTCTGTCCCGAGTCTAGAAACCGGTCATATCAAGTCGAAATCAGGTTTGATTGGGCCCAATCTGCTGCGGTCATCAAGCACGGATTCGCGACGAGAACCCGAAACAACACAGCGGCGGACTCTTTTTCTCTCCGAGCGAAGCGCCGGCCCCAGTGATCGGCTCAGAATACTCATTGCCTGAGTTGGTGGACTTGTTACTTTTTGGGAAGACCATGTTGCAGGGTGATCTTCTTTTGGCCAATCCACTCGATGGGAGGTGAGCTGAGAGAACGGCCGAAGCCAAGCTGATGACAGATTGAGATTGGTAGCTTCCCATGGGCTTCCCTTCAAGACCCGATAGACACGCCCATACTGGTATGAACTTGCCTAGAGTTGAGAGACTTGCAGCGGAACACTCCATGCAACTCTTCCAAGTGGTCACTGGTCCACGCTTTGACGCGAGGGACGATGGGAATTCCAAGCCTTTGAGCCAGGGATTGTAGCTCGCTCTTTTCCAGGATGAGTTCGAGGCAGGTAAGACATCCAATCTGCAGAATTCCTTCCAAGGGCAACGAAGGTTTTGGGCATCCGTGAAGCCATGAGCTTCGGGTCAGCCCGCAGGGGTCGTTTTCGGGTGACGGCCTGTGGGGAACTAGGTTTGAGGACGGCCAACGAAGAAAGCTCAGGGGCTGGGTTCTCGGATCCCCGCTTGTTGGTTATATTTTGGGGTGGACTCCTATAAAAATAGGAAGTATGAAGCAGAGTCTGAGCAGGTTTTAAGCCCAGATGTGAGCAGGCTGGTGTTGACTGGCTTCTAGTTGCCTGGCAAGTCGCAGCGACACTGGGGGTGCGACTTCAACGAGCTGAGGACCATGCCGTCTCCAATGGAGGAGAAGATGAAAGCCATGCGTCGGCCTTGGCTCGAACTCAGGCATTCCAACGGTCTGTCATCAAGATGACATGGGTGTCTTTTGCAACGGGACCCCGTTTCCTGGTTGGTTTCCCTTTAATGCAAAAAGGGTACCCTCCAACTGCCCCTCAGAAATCCTGGGGCGGGCACAAATTCGCACTTGAAGCTGGATGCTCTAAGATGAGTTCGTAGGTCAGAGGGACATTGTTTAGCAGAGCCTCCACAGAATTTAGGTGGGGATTCAGGTCCACCAACCACTGGTGTGGTTGCTCCCTATTTAAAAAAAAAAGAAAAAACACATTGCCATTTTGTGAAACTGGGAGCAAACAATTATAAACTGCGGCTTGGGTACTCAAGAGGATTCACTATGTTACCACTTTGCATCAATGAAGGCCAGTTTGGGCACCTTTTGTCCCACTGCTTTGACAAGGGTAAGACTATGGCCCCCAATATCAGTGTTAGGCGTTTTTGAACACCACGTTTCTTGCTAAACGCTGCTTCAAGTTGCTGACTTTAGGCCCTGCCCCAAACCCGAACATATGAACTCGAATTTGGGACACCTACTACCAAGCAGTTTCCCGCGGGGTCAGTATTTGACTACCTTCTGCTCTAGTTTGTTAGCTCGCCTTCCTAAATGTTGGCTCGTCTCCCCATGTCCAAACAACGTTAAAGCTAGGCCAGATTCTTACATGTATCACAAACAGGGCCATGTTCCACAACCTTATCCCTTAGTGTAAAGATTTGCTTTGGCATTGCAACGCATACTTCATGCACTTGGGCATGTGGCTGTATTCAAGCTCCGTCAAAGGGAAGCTTCTTCTGCGTAACATTTGGTCAGCTAATATGGGGACATTTGTTGACAGAAGAACGATGGCATAGCATAAATATTACCGAATACGAACACAGCGCAGCTGTAATGAATGGCTACGATCTGTGTGACTCGTATTTATGAGTTCAAAAAAGGAGGCGGGGGGGTTCGAGGATGCCCTTTTCACCTTGGCTTAAAGGGAGTTCCCCCTATTTTGGCGTAAACCCAATGTGATTCGCACAGCGGTGTCTAAATTGATGCCTTCCTGATGCACATGGCGCAAATCTAGTCCTGGCTTTCCCACGCTTTCTTGCCAGGGGATTCCATGCGAAATATTGCTGAACCCTTCTCAACACAGAAAGGTTGTTTGACCCTTCAAAGACCCCCTTCTAAGGAGGTTCCACCAAGGTTTTGCTAGGGGTGTTGGGCAATCTGGCCACGATCTCCGACCCAGGCTGGCCCTGAATGCCAGGGGCGGCAAGGAGGCGAGGCCAGTGATGTCAGGATGTCCCTAGCTTCACGGTTTCTGTGTGTTTGTTTTGTTTTGTTAAACGTAAAACAACACAAGTTGTGCGGCACGTTTGGCTCCGTTGATTCCGTTCACTTTTGGTGCAGGTTGCAAAAAGCCCGTTGCTTGGCTAGCATACCAGCGGTAGGGAAGACTGCAGATTGGCAGGCTGGGATTTGGTTGGAGGAGTGATAGGTCTCAAGAAGCTTGTTGGGTTGCCGGTGACTTCCTGGGCAATTGGCCTCTTCGAGCAAAAGGCTCATGCTTTGTGACTTCAAGGGAGAGAGGAGCCAAGCCACGCTTTTGTCTCAGAGACTTCCCACGCTTTAAAGCAGAACCTGAGGCTTGCTTGGGCTTATTTACGACCTATCTACCTCATTTTGGGTATGCCTTCAGGTGTATTGACAGGAGTCTGGTCTTGACCTTTCTTGGAGATGAGTCGATGAGACTTCCAAAAAGGCCTGTTCGGAGGTTCAGAAGGCAAGCCCATTGCCATTTTGCTGGGTAAATATGTCAGGCGAAGGCCTGAGCAAATTGAACTCTGGCTTGTCGACTCGCAGGCAAAAGGTGTCTTCCAAAAGGGGGTCGAACGCGCACCAAGTCACGTTTCTTGGTGGAAGGGGTATATCTTGTGAGGGTACCAGTACCTTGTTTGCCTTGGTTCAAAGGGAAACCAACAGGACAACTGCCATTTGTACGGACCTAATTTGACACCCATACGTGAGTGTGCAGGTCAGGCTTCAGGTTTGGGTGTGTTGCCCAAAATGAAAACCCCCGTTTGGGATGGGGCTTGAAGGAAATATTGAAAAACAAGCACGTAGTCCCCAATTCGAATAATTCATCAACATCAATCTCCTCCTGAGGGCTATTTTTCCGGTTCCTGGACTTTGCGCTTGACGCCGTAATCCGGGCCAGTGTAATCCGACACACACACAAGAGGTGCTGGCCTTTATACTGTTGTGGGAAGACCGTTTTGGTGGCAAACAAGCGGCTTAGGTTCTATTTGGCCAATCGACTCAAAACGCGAGCTAATTTTCAATTTTTCAGGTACCAGTTTGGACGATCCACCATGCGAGTCCAAAACATTCCAAACCTCGAGGGGTTGTGCGCCAGGATCCCAAGCCAACAGCGAAGGACAGGTGTTGCGAAGCTTCCGCAGAGTTCTGTTTGTTTTTTTTTTGTTTTTTTTGGGGGTTCCAAAAAGATTCCGAACTTGAAGGTGGCTTGAAGCAATACCTCCTGCCAATTTCCCTTGAGAGTTTCCCTTTTGTCTTGAGGTTGGAGCTTTAGGTTGAACAAGCCGGCGCGGAACTCGGGACGCTCTAGTGAATGACAACATAGAAATGACAACATGAGGAAGATGGGATACGACCAAGCTCTTTTTGGTAGATGTCTGCGTACACATTGGCTTTTGATCGTGCTTGATGCGGGGCCGCCACCCGTTGTAGAGGCAATCCGAATCTCCGGATCTTGGTCTGCACTATGTCTTTTTCATGGGGGACGCCCCCCACCCCCAAAAAAAAAGCGTGTGGTGTCACCAAAAGTTCGTTCATCCCAAGTGCCTGGCGACTTTGCCCGGCAAAGCCTTGGACAACGTCCCGGGCCCCAGACGGCCGCTTTGGGTTCCCGTTTGGGTTGACCAAGGCACACGCCGTTGGCCTCTCTGCGAACAAAAACACACGCATAATACCTACTGTGGATGGACGAAAACCTGCACCAAGTCGAAACCATGGGAAATATGAGTTCGTACATATTATAGGGGAATCATCATTCCAGTGATTCCTAGGGGGTGCAGGATTTCGTCCATCAGTATGTCACAAACCCCGTACGTGCATCGTGAGTTGACAACGCAGGTTGCGGGCTGCTGCCAGGTAGCAGGAATTGGTACTGTTGATCGTTGATGTCCGTAATATCCATGCCCGAAGACGTGGGTAGATATGGACATTCAGAACAGACTGCCTCAAATACACTTTTGAGGGTTCCTGTTTGGGATGGTTAAAGGGAAATCAAAGGGAACCCCGTCCTTGTGAAGGTTCCCCCCCGCGAGAAAAAGAGAACACCCCCATACGCCCTTCGTCAGGAGGGCGCAATGGTCCTTGCGGACAACCCGCAGGGCGCTGGAGGACTGGGCTCGAGAGGTACGAGTGTCGGGCTGAGGTTGGTGAGCCTTGAGTTGTCTTTTCCTTTTGGTGTCAGCACAGGGGCTAAAGGCGGGTCGAAGTGGCAGTGGCTCAAAATTAAAGAGCTAGGGTTACACAGGTTTTGGTCCATGTTTCCACTTACCAGGGTTCCATTTTGGTACCGGTTATTTTGGTACCGGTTGTTTGAGCCATACCCAAATGGCTATAAGCTTTAGTATCCTTCGTCTGCGCCGTTCAGGCTCTAGGTTCTCGGACCTGCTGAAAGCCAAGGAACTAGCAATCAAGGTGTGAAGCCAATGGACCCACGGCTCCGCAGAAACCAGATTTGGGCATGAATTCAATTAGTTCCTCTGGAAACCAGGCTTGTTTCCCACGAAAGGAGGGGTTTGAAGAATGGGAACACCAGCATTTCGGCCAGGGGAAGTTGCAAGCCTTGGCAAATCTTTGTTTCATCAGACAAATCTTCGATGGCAACTTGGACGTTCTCACCAAGAAAACCATTGGACAATCGGCCCTTTCAAGTGGCCCTTTGAACCCGGGAAGAAGAGGAAGAAGATGGACAGACACGCCATTTCGGTGTTGCTGAAAATAGGGGACCCCCAAAACTGTTTGCTTTCCTTCTGGTTTTCTTTACCAAAAAGCAAAAAAAGGTGGGTTCTCTATTTTGACCCCCCCCCCTTAATTAGACGGCCCCTAATTTTGGCACGTCATAAATCGATTGCTAAGCGGAATAATGAACGATTTAGCACGCGATCGCCCAGAGCTCAGCGACCTGCGCGGCTGCCGTGTTGAAACAGAGGTGGCCACCTGCGAGCGTCACGGTGCGAGCCCCTTTGTCCAGTCTTGGGCGGCGCCCCCTTTCCTTCGCGGCAAGCAGCGAGTATCGGAGCAGCGGCTGCCAGAACTCCTCTTGCGGCAAGGTATTGCTTGGGTTTGATTGAACCTTGTGCAGAGAACACCTCAATTCGACTCCTTCGGTCTCCATGCAGTGAAGTGAACAGCGGAATGGACAGCATTGTTCATTCTGGTACCATCAATATGGGCGTGGTTCAAGACAGGGGTACCCTCCCCCAAAGAAAACAACGGTGGCTTTCCAATTAAACCAGGATTCAATCGGATTTCGTCCATCTACAGTAGGAGTCCAAGATCCGAAATATGAGGCCCCTTTGAACCCCCCAAGTCTTTCGGCGAGCGAGATGTATGCGATCCACTGTATCAGAGAAGTAGCACGCTTCCAGAGCGAGGTCCGGGCCAAGACTGGTACGTGTCAGCAGGTTGCCAGACAAAATCCTTGGTGGTGTTGGTTCCGGTGGATGTGGTTCCTGCTAGGGTGATGTTGCAAAGAGACAATTTTACTCTTCCCAACAATCACGAAAGTGGGGTTAGGGAAGACTGCAATCCCCTTGAAAAGGCCCGAACAGTCCACTTGCATTATGGGAAACAGGCTGGGGCTCCTTTGTGAATGGGCCATGTTTCAAGGGGAAGCAGGGGTACTCTACAAATGGTGGTTTACCTCTTGGCTTCCCCGTAAACCAACCTTAAACAGGGCACTTTTAAAAATACACGGCGTCATTCTTACTGATTTTTTTCTAGGGCTCCGCCGCAGAGTTGGTTGGTGGACCTGAATCCGCACCACCAAAGGGTCTCTATCTACGATACATGCCCATATCGAGCTGTAGGGTGCAAATGGATGCAACTCAATGATATCTGAGAGCTTGATGTCAAACCCTGGGAGGGGAGGTGTTACTCGGTGTGGCAGGTTTTAGACTTTGACAGGAGAGACTTGGGAGATGGTGGGCCAACAAGAGCTGGTTCCGCAGCAACAGCGGCGAAGTCGCAACGCAGGCCCGACGAAGAGCTGACCCCCTTGGTTCGGATTTTTTGCTTGAGGGATGGTTTGACAAGGACATGCCAGACTCATTCCCCATGTCGACCCCATGGTCAAGAGAAGGTTTCAAGGGGCGCCTTCGGTCCAAATCCGAGCAAAGCTTGCACAGGCCAAGATGGAATGGCGCCGGACTTCTGGGCTGCTTTTGCATATTCCAAGGTTAGCTGAAGATGTTTCAGAAACCAGAAGAATAAGACTTGGGGAAAAGTCTCAGGGACTAGCCATTCTGGTGGAGGCCACGCGGCATGTGTGGCTTGCTTGATTCTCAGTCAGTAATGCAAGGCAGGACGGGGAATCCTGCTGTAATTTATCATTCTGTAGTTGGTCGACGGCTCGGTACCTTTTTTTTTGTCGGTTCAAAGGGAAACTAGCAGGAACACCGCATTTTGAGGGGTCCCCTATATCATTGTTAGGGAGTCAAGCAAATCCGATGTTGTTTCAACAGTTCCTTTCAGACATTCTCATACTCACATCCGCTCATATCAGAGCGGAGAAGGCAACACGTGCTATGTTGAAATGCATTATTATGACCTGTTTTGCTTTTTGTTGTGGGTGTTGGACGGCTGCTTCTCTGTTGGGGAAGGCCCCGGTCGACTTCCATGTTGGAAAGAGGGTAGCCTGCCCTGCCAAGTGTTGCGGTGATCAGTGAGTGGCTTTTCAGCCGATCCATTTTGGAGCTCGGTCTTGAGTGAGCATCGCCGTCAATGGACCCAATAAATGGAAGTAAGACATCAGATGTATGCGGTACAATATCAGATGCTGCTAGAAGAGAGCACGTCTTCGTAGTGTGATTTTCATCTATTGCTCCTTCACTTAGCTAAACTACAAGAAGGAGCTAAAAAAATGATTTTCATGAAAATCATGGAGCACGTCTTGGAAGGATGCTAATACTTTTTCATCTAAACTTTCTGCTCTTATCTACTGCAATGGATGGGGTGAAGCGCATGGAAAGGAGTGCCGTTCCGTCAGTCCGCGGGAGCGCGCGCCGATGGCAGCGGCATGCGCAGGCATCCACACCATCGAGATCTACTACCCCCAGTTTTACTTTGACCAGGTGGAAATGGAGGAGCCACCGGGGGTATGTGCAAAAAAATGGCAACTTGGAACCCCAAAAGGAAGGTTTCCTCTTGGTTTCCCTGTAAACCAAGGTGGTTTAATAAGGGTACCCTCATGAAGAACACACATCTATCGGGGTAAGCGAGAACTCACAAAAGAAAGCGCTCATCTGAAGTTTGTTAGAACCCGAGGAAAGGTACGGATTTCATTGGGGATGCTCCCATCCCTGGTGGTCCTTTTGGTTTTGGGGGGGGCATCTTCCGTGGCAGGGGGCTGTGCATGGACCCTCACTCAGAGTCCATGCTGAAGGTTTTCCTGGGCAATGTTGTGGTGTAATGGTCCGAGTGGTCTTTTGCAGTGGATCCCAGTTACCATAGTAGGTAACCGGCCATTGCTCCTATAGTCTTCCGAGGGTGGTCTCCTTGGGCACCTGCTAAAGTAGTAGCTGGAAGCACAGGGTCCTTTTGGTTCCGGCTGGGGGAATAGTCACAGCGAGGGGTTTCTCTTTCATCCCGGAGCCAGAGAACAAGAAGGGATGGCCAGCACAGATCGTGAATTGCAGGTTGAAACCAGGATGCTTCATGGAGCAGATCCTTGGGGTGTTTGAGGCTTGAAAAGCAACGCCATCTGAGACCTGGATCCATGTTGGGTTCGTGTAATGTAAAAAGGCTCGGGGAAGGATGCAGGGCCGATGTGTCAGGCTCGGACGGCTCAGGCAGCTCAGGCTTCTGTGTATTGAGGCACCCATTGGTTTGGCTGGTTTGTAGGGAAATCACCAGCAACCCAGGAAACCCCATGATTTTAGGGATTCCCGTCCGTGGTTTTGGGTGCACCACTTTGGGGTGTCCGTTTTTCGGCCATGTTAGGGGTCCACCGTTTGGAGACAAATTGGTGCCACCCAGTGTGCGAAGCAACTCCGGGGTAACCCTGATTTTTCTACATTTGAGACTCGAAGGCACCAAAAGGATGCCACATCGGACTGCCTTTTACAACCCAGTGTCAGGTTTGGGCCTTTGAGCCTCCTGTGAATTGACCAACACATGGTTTTCACATGTTTCCACTGGAACCTCCGTTTTTGGTCACCCCCCTAAAGCTTCCGTGTTCGCTTGCAGGGGAGCACTGCCCACCATCTCCGGGTTTTCTTTTAAAGTCCCATCGCGAGGAGTATGATGCTGCGCCGGAGAGGTCCCCGGGCTGAAGGGATCCGAGAACGGGTCCAGCCGGCTCCAGAAAAAGCTGGGGCCTGGCCAGATTTATTCCTCTAAGCAGGCCCCATGTTTTTTTTTGTGTGTGGGCGTGTGTTTTTTTGTTTTCTTTTCGGAAGGGTATCTGCTGGAGGCAAACGGGGGATTCATAAAACAAAGTTGCATGTAACCTGCCAAGGCTCCCTACAGCCCAGTTGCTGGGTCTTAGTAACGGACACTTTCCGGATTTGACAATCCAAGGTATTTGAAGTGAGGGTTTTCACGAGAGAGCCATAGGGGGGGAGCAAAGCTCCATTTGGGGGTCTGCCCGAAAATCCAGATTCTAAGGGGGGAACGGGCTGACACCTTTTTGTTCTCTTTTGCTTCAGCTTTTTCACCCCTCAGTTTCAAATGCGGATGATGCTGGTGATGCAGGGTCCGCATCCCCAGCATCCTCAGCATTACCAGGCACGACTGCCTCACCAAAGCCATGTGCCTGTTGTTTTTTGGAGCTCCTTCCTCCCAAAAGCACAGTTTTTGGGAGCCTCTTATTGGTGAGCTGCTCCCCCCTTCCAAAGCACAGCTTTTTGGGAGCCCTTCTTTTTTGGAGCTCCTCCCTGCCAACGCATATTTTTTTGGGAGCCTCTCTTGCATGCCTGCAGTCCTTTGCCTCACGAAAACCATGCCTGTTGCTTTTGGGGAGCTGCTCCTCCACCCAAAAGCACAGTTTTTGGGAGCCTGCGAACGTTTGCCTCTTCCCTGCCTGTTGTTTTTGAGAGCTTAGCAGAGGTTGGTTTCAGGTAGAAGAGCTCTGAGGGTACCTGTTTTTTGAGGTATGTGTTCTGAGACACACACACACACAGTCGCGCGTTGGAGACTCCGCCTTTGGACCTGCGCTCGACGGGCTCCGACTCTGGATGTCTAATGCGGCGATGTGCATCGCTGGTTTCAAGTGGTCGGGGCTGCGGGCACGGACCTTCCGAGCTTGACATGGTCAAAGAAACTTGCCTGATGTTTTTCATGGTCCTCTTTCACCCTGCCGTACGGATTTCAGACAAACCGTTGTCATTGTGACATGCTTGAGTGGGTAGGGATGTGTTCCATGTACCAGCCGGCCATATCGACACTTCTCTCGATAGGTACGGCCCCACGGTGATCGGGAAGTACACTAAAGGCGAGAAGTCGGTCAGCTGGGAGAACTGAAAGTTTAGATTGTCACAGTGGATCGGTCAGCTCACTAAAGATGTCAGCTCGTCGTGGTAGCTACCCACATTGGGTGACTCGTTGAAAGCTGCATCTCTGCGCGCAAGCCATTGGTATTCGCACGCATGCGGACAGCATGCAACGGAGGGGAGCTTGCTGAAGTTGCTTCGTTTGGGGCGCTCGGCTTTGGTGAAGCTTGCTCCAGCGTTTGGTTTGGGCCATTTTGATGCACTAGCTTTCTCAGGTGGTTCCCGTTTGGGGAAACCCCAGACCGCCTGGTTTCTGGGGTACCATAAAAATGAGAACCCTGGCATTGAGAGCCCATGGCCTGTTGGGTGCTTGCCGAACATTCCGCCAGACCGATGAACTGGACCCTGGTTTGGTCAAAGCCCTGGTGTGGAATGCCTTCAGCAAACGGATGCGCGCTTTTAACGCGATGACGAGTACCAAGTACGTTGTACGATTGAGAAGGCTCTGATAAGGAAGTGGACCACATGGAGGTGTGCCAAGACTAGAGACCATTTGAGACGAGCGTATCCGAGTATGGGCGAGGTCTGACAGTCTAAGAACGCTCTCCGAGATCCAGGTGTTCATCAAAAGAGGCACTGCAGTGTCTCGTTTGCAGACCGACCTTTCCCGAGCCCGGTGATTTCTTTTTAGCTGATTACTGCAGCCTGCGGAGTCTTTTGTTGTTTGACTTGTATTTGCACATTGCATGTGTATAACGCACATTATGCATATGTGTATGATGTGTGTATCGTGTCTATATATTTATGATATCTTCATACACATTCACACATCTGTATATTATATGTATATATATATATATATATATACAATTACATATTGACGATGTGCGTTGGTGTTCTTTCGACAGAACACACATGTATGTATACCTCTCTCACTCTCTCTCTCTCTCTCTATATGTATGTAGACAAATTGCTTTAGCTAGTTAATGTATTGTATTGTGTATATATATATATGTATCTGCTCAGACATGCGCACATGTAAGACCCCCTGTTTGGATCTCACGCTCGTTGCCATACGTACCGGGCGTGCCCTCCTTGGCCAGGCATCGGCCAGATCGAGGGCCGCTTTCCCTCAGATGACGAGGAGAGCCGCGTCAGCCAACGCCCCATGAGGTTGTGGCTGCAACATCTGGTTGACACGGAACAAAAAAGACTGCTGAGTTTTGTGGGGGGTGTTCCCCTCCACTAAAAAGGGGACACCCCCTATTAATCAACCAGGAGTTTATTAATCTGGGGTCAACATTAGCAATCCATATGTTTGCAATGGTTCCCTACAAAAACGGCATTATTAGGGGACGGTAATGTTTTGCAATTGTTCCAAAGGCCCCCTGCTTGGAATCCAGAAAGCCAGGCCTTGTGTGTTGTGTTACTCAGGACTTGTTCTTGTTTGACGTGGAGTGACCATGGGACCATTTACAGGATTCGTTTGAGTTTGCATCTTAAGACACGAGGTTTTTAAGCCACAGCTGGCCGGTAGATATTTGGTTTTCTTTGTTTTCCTGGCTGGTCATCGGCCCTCTTTTGTTCGCTAGTGGTGGGTTTAGGCAACAATGCTAGCTTGGCCGCTCCCTCGCACACCGTTCGCCCGTAGCTTTCAGCTTTTCAGAACCCATATGGCTGTGGGTCAAAACTAATGGTACCATATTGGGGTAGGTGCACCACCCATTTTAGTCTATTTTAGTGGGGATTGGGATGTTCACTGGGCTTACGGGCTTTTGACCCATGGCCATACTTCCACGTAGGCACCAAAGGTCGAGCTGTTTGCAGAGAAACTAAGCAGATAAGAGCTTAGAGGGCAAAGCGCCCAGGAGTTTTGACCGTGAACTCATTTCTATCATGGGACAACGGGTCTTGCAGCCTGGGTTGTTTCTCCAAGAGCTTGCATTTCCTATGCATTTCGGTCATGTGTGTTTGAGGAGCACGTCTGTTACAAGAATGCGGCTCATAGGCATTGTGCCCACGTTGGAGTTGTAAGATGTACCACGCATTTTGGTTGCTTCTGGTCTGTTGTCACTTTGGTTTCGTTTTTTTGTTTGCCTTTGTTTGATTCACTTGTTTGTATTCCTTTTGTTTTTCTTTTGTTTTGCTTTGTTTGGTTTTTGTGTCCTTCTGGTGTCACTTTGGGCGAATTCATTCGATTTGAGATTTCACCCCCGTTTGACCGCCAGGATCCCATCTCCTTCGCCATGACGGCAGTCCACCGATTGCTCGAGCGCATGCAGGAGAAAGGCTCATCGTGGGCGCATGGCAGGGTGGCATGAGCGTAGTTAGCTCATTTGGGTGTGGGTCAAAATTAAGGCACCAGGATATGGACCGCAGGTTTTAGTCCAGGTTTCCATTTACCAGAGTTCCATTTGGGGTACCGATTTTTGACCCACAGCCATATGAACTCCACCCAAGTTTTATTAGGGGGTGAACACCCCCCGAATAAAACAGGTTCTACTCAGATCCGGGGTGAACATTTTGCCGCTTTCGGGGTGGTTTAAGCATCACCTTTTGGCCCATATTCTGACGCCTTCGTGTGGGTGGTTCCTCAAGAGCACAGACACCAAACCAGCCTAGTTGGAAACCCGGTTTGGTGGCCACTGAGTCACTGCAATGTTGCGTGATCCTTCCAAACGTCATGAAAAAAGGACTCTGGGTGCCGGAGATTAAGATATGGAGATGAAGATACGGCTCTTTGGCGGATCCAAAAAAAGTCCGGAACCATTTTTGGGAAGCTGGTCGGTCTATCATTGAATCTCCGGGGAAGGGCCGGCCGTCATGCTGTTGTTTCCCCCTGCCAAAAGTGATTCTTTCCTCTTGTGGAAAAACGGGCAGGTTGTTGCTCTTATGATCTTCTTTTCAGCTCTAGTCTTTGGATTCTGCACGTTTGACAAAAGCTCTTGCTCTTCCTCCCACAAACATGTCACCTCTGACATGGTATCTACAAGATCACTTTTATCTTGAAGGGGCCTAGGGGCCCCGTGTCAGGGTGGGCGAGAGGATAGACCTTTAAGACTTGAAGTAGTGGTTTCTCCATTGCACCCTTTAAAACGTTTGAGTTGTTCGAAATCGTAAAGCGGTAACACATCGGAGTTGAGTTGGAGATTGGACTGAGTTGCATGCGAGTCATCGGTGTCCACAAGTTGGGACCCCTGCGGAACAGAAATGGGAAGCTGCAAGGACCATAAGACTTGCTTAAATTCTCTCCCTCTTTGTCATTGGCTTTTGCGCCAGCTTGACAAGAGCAGACGATCAGATCTGTGAACACAGAACATTTGGAGACGTTGCGGACCGTTGCTTTGACAGAGCGCTGTGCGGAAATTCTGTGCTTTGGGCGAGGTAGTCCCCGCCTCATGACTGTATGCAAGCTGCATAACGGACCCTTTCAACCATATGTTTGACCTTGTTGATTAGAAGGGGATTCTTGTGGGTGATTTTTTTTTTCCCCCGAGGCACCATCATCGTTGGGTCGGTTTCAAGGGCAACCAAAAGGACACTTTCATTCCATTTTGGGGGTGCTCTATTTGAGACAAACGCATGTAAGGAGGGTTTCAATTAAAGTGTTGAAGCCCAGCCTTTCAGCCAGCTTGGGATCGGTACTTGACAGTGCAAGTTCCAAGCGACGCTGTATCCGAAGTCGGCCGACCAAACGTGTTCCGTGCTTCTCCAACGCGACACAGCCACATCTTCCAGAGATGATGTATCAATCATGCAAGCGACCCCCTCTAAAATTAGGGAAAGATCCCCTCCAACGGAGACACTACCCGACCTGTCAAATCACAAATTGTATCCTGGATCGGTTAGTTTGGACTCCGAGGGCTGCCTTTGAACACGCCAGTTGCGATACAGGAGTTCCACGCTTTCTTGCATTCTCCAAGACATCATTCAACTTGCCCGCTTTCCATCGGCAAACTCCGCGCAAGTCCCAAGCAAACAAATATAGACTCGTTTGGACAGCCTTGCTTGTTTGTCTCTCTCTCTCTCTATCATTGTCTCTCGCTCTCCCTCTCTCTCTCTCTCTATCTCTCTCTCTCTATCCCTCTCTCTCTATCTCTCTCTCTCTCTCTCTCTTTCTCCTTTTCCCGTGTTCAAGCAGCAGGTTCAAAATCTGGTTGTCTTCCGTTCAAATTGCTCTCATTCACCCGTGAATGAGACTCGTTCAATTTGTTGCCGGTGATGTAAAACAGTTTTGTCAAGTGTTTCCTTTTCAATAATCATGTGGATTGAGAGCTTCCCCAAACGGAGCGTCGTCTTCCCACACCTTCCTGTCAGCTTGTTGCATGGAGGCAGAGCAATATACAAGGGTCTAAACAAATACTAATCGTTTACGCCTCTAATTGTGACTGAATTTGTTTTAGAGTGTTCCACAACTCCATTCTACTTACTTTGGCCCTTATATCCAACAAGGGCGCCGCAACAAATGGCGGTGGTCCTTTTCTGGCTTCCCTTTTCCGGGGTATTCCCCCAAACTTGAGCACCGGCCCTCCTTCTTTTTTTCAAGCAGACGAGCCTCACCCCAGTGCCAGGCATCAACGAGACGGGGAACTACATGCCCGACGGCCGAACTTTGAGCCCCTGGCGCCTCGGATGCCTTCGGACGTCGCGTGGGCGCGTGGGCGCCCCCGAGGTTTTTGTCGACGGGTGAGCCACGTCCTCGAAACCGATTATAGGGTAGATGGTTAAGGGCCAAGCCCCTTGAACCATAAATAGCTGATCTTTCCGCCTTAATTCTTTGCATGGTTCTGGGTTCATGTTAGTACCGGGGTTTGAGCAAGTGGCTCAGGTTACAACGTGAGGTTTGGTCAACGCATGGCTGTGTTCCTCTCTTCTTTTGGGGTTGGAACGATGGTCTTGGGGTTTTCCTTTCGGGGTTCATTTAAAGCTACCAAAACTGGGGCCCTGGAAAAAGACCACATATTGGATTCATCTCGCAATTTGGGAGGGACATTGGGGGACGAGCTCGAAAAGAAAGCCCACAAAAGCCAGGGGAGGAGCCCGACATTTACCATCCTCTCAGGGAACCAGCATAGTTTTGACCATGGCTCATGTGGTGTGGCAGTCAAACGTTTCCCACAAACTCACTCATGCCTCTTTTGAGACTGCTTTTCAATTCTAAGGTTCACTAAGTGCGGATCAGATCAAAGGTGTCATTTTTGCTTCGGGGAAAGCTGAGGTAACGAGTCTTGACAGCACAATTACCTTTGGAGGATCCAGTGACCAACTGTCGGTATGGAGCTTGCCTTGTAAGACGAATCAACGGGCCCCTACTTTGAACATGGCAAAAACTGGGAGATACACCGTTCACCCCACATTGTATCCCTTCCAGACGTCTTTGTCTGAGCTGTTTTCTTTTGCTGGCATAGTCTTCCCATTGGATCAGATACCATCCACATTTGCCCGATGCCCGCCAAGTACTTTCGAGGCATGTCACTCTTTTCTTTTCCAAGAGGAGATGCTTAACTCATACTGTAGTTTTCTTGGTTTGGGCAAGTTGGCATAGGCTTGATGGGCGCTACCAGTCAAGAACCACCGGCTGGCTTGACCCGTGGCTGGGAACTGGCCAGGCCAAGTTGATTTCTGGCAGTTTGTTGTTGGAGGGCAGTTTGTTGCGGTTCCTTCTTGGAAAGATAGGGGAACCTGTCTAGCTTGTCAATCCATGGACTTTAGCTCTCACTTTGACAGATCAGTTGAGATGAGCATCCATCTGGGCAAATCATCGGCACCCATTATCAAGGGTCTCTTACTGGGGGGATTCCTATTCTTTGTTTGGTAACGATTCTAATTTGCCCCGACTGTGGGTACGTGTCAAAAGCCCCAAAACTGGTGGTTGTCCTTTGCATTTCCCTTTCAACCTGCCTAACAAGGGCACCCTCAACACACACGCCTAGCCCTTCTGCTTGCAAGTCCCAGGAACGCCATTGGTCGCCTTGACGTTGGCACGGAGAGTATCACAGAGCCTTGGCAAAAGCTTGACGGCCTCTTGTCATTTGTGCGCTCCCCCCCCCCCAGCAGAAGGTCAATTTCAGGTGGTTCTACCTGGTCTTATGATGGTTTTATACAGTGGGGCCAATATCATAAGCACCTTTACAACCATCTAGAGCCACAAGTCAATGTTGGTCACATTTGGGCACTGCTCATCCCTCTATGCGATCCCCCCTGTTTATCCACCAGTGGTCCCTTCAGAGCTAAGATTCTTGGGCGCCTGCTTTGGGCCCTTTTGGCCCCAATCATGTTCCTCTTTAGGGCTTCCATTTGCTAAGCATATTTGTCATTTTTGCCTCTTGGCTTCTACAGCGGATCGATCACCAGCGAATGGAAGGCTATTTTCTACCATGGCCTTGTCTATTCGAAGCAGGTGCCAGTGAGTGAGAACCGGGCTGCGAGGCCGGCCGCTCCCGCAAAAAGTCCAGGATTGAGGGGACAGCCCCTGTCAATCAACCGGCTTATGGATTTGTTTGGCGCCTTTATTCTTTCACCTAAGATGGAACCTGCAAGCGACGCGCCGCCAGCACCGAGTTCCGGTGCTTCGAAGTCGGTGCTTTTGCACCAAGATGCGCACTGTAGCAGCTCCGCCTTGGCAGCGGACGGATTGATTCCGGGAGGTCTGTGCGTGTGTCTCTGGGATTGGAGCCCTTCAAGGGCCCTGGCGGAAAATCGTTGCTGATCAAAGAGTTTGGGTTTGCTTAGAATCCACCTCCGGGCCGAGGGTTCCATGGTCACACGCACGGTGATGTTTTTCTGTGGAAGAGGTTGCCTGTAGTTGGAACTCATCGCGCTGGCGGCTGGCTGATCCGTGCACAAATGCCATCATGCAGCCCTGAACGCCGTTTTGCGGGAACGCCCCTTCTTTGTCTGTTCTTGATATCTTTTTTTTCTTCTCTCTCTCTCTCTCTCTTGTATCTCTCTCTTATCTCTCTTTGGGCTGAATTTCCTTGAACATCAATCAGCAACCAAAGGGCGTGCTTTGGCCGCAGAATTTCAACGCGCCGAGGATCGTTCCAAGTCCATGAAGTCTTTCATCATGGACCTCTTCGAGCGCTATGCCAACGAGTCCAACATCGAGGCGCACCGGGGCGGCGGGGGGTTGGCAGCGTAAAAGGTGCGCCGTGCTTTTTTTTTGCCTTTTCCCAACAGCTGAAAGCTATGGGGTCTCTGCCCAGATAGGCTCCTTCGGGGTGGTTTGGGGCAGCTTTCAGGGAGGGTTCCGGAGGGTTCCCGGGGCTGTTGGGTCCCGATACCACCTGGGCTTCTTTTCATGGAGCCGTATGCTCCATGGGCGCTAGACCATCTTGGGTTGGTATGGCCATGAAGTTCGTGGAGCATTTGAAGGCACCGTGACCATGGCCTACAGAAGTTTTGGCCCTGGCGCGTATTTGAGGTACCCTCCCGCAAACATGAAACCTGAGGTCACTGACAGACCAGGTGGCTTTCAAGGCATCAGGTGGGTGGAAAACCTTTGATTCCAGGAACTCCCCAAGCTTTTGGATCAGGTGGGTTCTGGATGAAATAGAACCCCAAACTTGGACCTGTCCCTCATCTGCCTTCCTTCCTTTACTTTCTAACCGGATGATTTAGATGCTTCGAACCTAGGCCAGGAAAATCGTCCTGTACAAACGCGGCAACAGGCTCAGCTCTGGTCGATACCCGCACCCCGGGGGTTCCACTTGCGCCAGTCGCAAGGATAGCCGCTGGGTTTCAGTAGGGAACAGCGACAGTGCTTGATGGACATTCTGTCCCTTATCAAAACCTGATATCTATGAAAGGGTTCCGTGAAGAACGTAAAGCTGGGTGAGTGAGCTTCAAGCACAACTCTAAAACAATATGATTTCATGAAGCCACCAGGAGTGTCCTTTTCCGAAAAGGCCCCTGTCCACTTCCATGTTTTTTGGAAAAGGGGGGAAACACCTGGAGCAGGGCGCCTAAAGGATACCTGCCAAATCCCCCTGCTTTAGGGAGTCCTTAACCATGAACTGGCTAAGGTCAATTGAAGGTGAAACACGGCAAGCCATCAGATCCATAGAGACACGACCAAAGCATCATGGGGAAATCCACAAATCCCCCCCCCTTCCCAACGTGCAAAGCGTCAGGGCGTGGACCAGTACAACGCCTGCTACGGTGGCCAAGCCGCCGGGCTCTGCACCCTGAGCTGGGTGGAGTCCGACCGCCCGGGCGCTCAGCTCCGCTCAGGCGCTCGTTCTGCCGGCCGGGCCGTGTGGCCGTGTGGGGATGTGTTGTTTTTTCTCCCACAGCCCCCCATAGCCCTCGAAAGCTCGGCCTTTCTTTCCCAGATCCCTCCCATAGCCCCCCCCCATAGCCCCCAGATCAGCCCTCGAAAGCTGAGCGGCGCGGCCTCCGATGTGCGAGGCTGGGACGGGCGCTACGGCATCGCGGTGGCCACGGACATCTCGGAGGCGCACCCCGCCTTCATGGCCTTCGCCGGCGCGGCCCGGGGCCCCCGGACTCGAACCGGAGAGAGAAATACGACGCGAGCGAGGCGCCCCCCGGGGGGCGTTTTTGTTTTTTTCTCTT